CCCTCTGTTATTTTCTTTTAGCTACTTATTTATATCTTTATATTTAAAGTGAGTTTCTTATAGGCAGCATAAGGATGTATTTTGTTGTTTTATGCTGATAACTTCTGATTTTTTATCTTAGAAGTTTACATCATTTGCATTTAATGAAACTATTGATATAATTGTATTTAAATCTACCATCTCATACTTTTAAATTCATCTTTTCCTGATTTTTCTCTTTAGTTTTGGACTGAATATATTTTAGTATTTCATTTTCTTTTTCTATCAACTTCTCAGCTGTACATTTTTGTGTGTGTCTGATTGCCTAAAAAGTTATATGTTTTTAATTCCAGTGTAACCTCAGGAATATTATGCTGTTTCAGAAATATATATAACTTTAACATAGTTGGCTTCCACTTTTCTTCTGCCTTGTGAGCTGCTATTGTCATTTATTTGGCTTTCATATACTCTACATTCAACAATACGATACACAGGTATTATTTTTTTCTTCTTTCAGTAGTTATTCATCTTTAAAAAGTTTCAGAAAACAAAAGGGTCTTGAAGTTATTCACACAGTTACATTTCTGGTGTCCTTAGATGTTTGAATAGATCTAGATTTCCATCCTGTGTCATTTTCTTTCTGTCGGAGGATGCCCTTCAACAAATTCACAGCATACTTTTTAATGAGAATGCTATTAAAAATTCTTTAATCTTTTGAATGCCTAAATGTTCTTTATTTTGTTCTGATTTTAAAAGTATATTATTAGTTGGTGGAATAGTCAGGAACAGTGCAGGTTGATCATATTTGCCTGAACAGTTTAGGAAAATCCAGTCTTCTGGCTTGCATCATTGCTACCTGGAAGCCAGTGATCACTCTTACCTTCCTCCATCTGTGTGTAACATCTCTCTTCCTACTTGCCTGTGTCCCTCCATTCTTGGAGTGAATCTAAGGATTATTTATAATTTCCTTTAACCAATTTGATTATAAGATACTTTGTTATTATTTTGTTTCTTCATGTTACTGTGTTTTGTATTTAGCTTTCTGGATCTGTGGGATTATTATTTTCAGCAAGTATGAAAAATTTTCAACTGTTATTTTTGTGTTGCACATATATTAGACTGATATTTTAAAATCTGTTATATTCATGTTTTTATTTTTCTCTGTGTGTTTTATTTTATATGGCATATATTACTATATTATAAGATTTCTGGTCTTTTTTCTGCTGTCAACCCCATCCAGTTTACATCTTATGTAATTGTTACTGATTTTCCATATCACTTCTGGGAATAGTCTTGCTTTTCTCTATTTCTTCAATGCAGTGAATATATTTTTAAAAGTTGCTTAAAAATCTATTTTTCTTAATTCCATTATCTCTATGATTTCTGGACCTGCTTTTATTGATTGATTGTTTTTCCTCTCATTGCAGGTTGTGTCCTTATTTTTTGTATGGCTTATAATTGCTTAGTCTTTCTAAAATTAAGAACAATAGCTAAATCTCATCTTTGGTTTAAGAATTAAGTGAAATGGATTACAATCAGTCTCTGCCCTCTGTGTGCCTGGTGCAGACAGGAGATCCTCACTCAGAAGACCCACAAACTGCTGGCACTGCAGTTCGCATCTTGACTTTACTTGCTATCTGACCTCCTGGAGGACACAGACACAGGTGGTCCATGACAACCACCAGTGCAGCCCACCTGTGGTTCCTGTACATACCCTGAGCTGCCTGGATACACAGAATCAGGAGGTCTGTGACTCACTGATACCACAGTTAGCAGCTGAATGCTGAGAGAACCAGGTATTTCCCATCTACTTCCTGGAGGCAGAACAGGTGACCCATGACCCCACCAACATTGCAGTCTGAGCCTCCACCCTCCACACACCTGGTGCAGACAGG